TTCTAGTTCTAAGATAGTATGTATACAACTGCTATGAACTTTCTTGACAGAAACCTTTTATGAACAACAATAATTCCATCTTCCTTGGAAAAATATTCATGAATAATATTGCTCATTATGGTGTAGCTGCATACTTAACTTTGAAAAAATAATTAGTATTATCACTCTGACGTCACTGTGCCTTATGATTGTCACATTATCAACATGAAAGAGTTGAGGCTGCTCCATATTTGATGATGTTCATTATCGTAAATTTAGTTATTTGGGTGGATATGCAGTGGTATGCCATGATGATTTTAATTCATATATACCACTTAGCTAATAATGTGGTGTGCACATGCTAATCAGCCTTCTTTATATCTTCTTTTATATAACGTTTGCTCAGATCCATTTATAAAATTGGGTTAACTTTTTCCTATTACATTTTCATGAACTATCATATACTTTATACACAAGATCTATGTTAGATATATGTGCTAAACATGTTACCTATAAATTTAAATTTAGAAGATAAATTATAACTTTAGAAAATATGTATGATATCTTCTAAGTTTTGGCTTTTCTTTGTTTAGAGAAAAAAACCTAAACAAAATAAAAAACCTCATCCAATAAGCACAGTTGCTATGAGTTTATTGATGCAATGGACACATCATATCCAAGACAGTGCTTCACAGCATTTTTCTACCATCCTTTGACTCTTCCATTCCCTAGAAGTGATATAGACATCTCCCTTAGGGCTGAATACTTAGAAGTCACTTATTCTCCAAACTGGTTAAAACAGTTTCTGCATTATGTGCACATACTGCTAAAAGAAGTTTCCTAAGGAAAGCTCACCATAGCTGTGGTTGGTTACTCACACAAGATTAGGCCTGTCAATCTTTCATCAAGGATGGAAGAGAGCCTCATACTACTCCTCGCCAAGTGGGTAGGGATCGGAAATCACTTTCTTCAGTGATTTCCTACTTTTGGTCACCCATGCTCTAGTAAGTAATTCCTATCCACCCTCATGCAAGAAGACCTAATTAAACTCAGCAGGTTTTCTTTCTTTCTTCCTTTTTTTTTTTTTGGGGGGGGATAGGCCTGAAAATAGGAAGAGAATTTTTTAGGGAGAAGGGGTTCTGCAGGAGAGAAGAGAGTAATGGAGTGTGAGTATGATTAAAATACATTATATATGTATGTCAAAGAATGAAGTCAATGGATGGATGGCTGGAGATGGGATCTGGTTATGTTGCCTGAGGCTGGCCTCAATCTCTAGACTTATGTGATTCAAGAGGTAGTCCTACATCAGGCTCCGGAGTATCTAGGACTACAGGCTTGTGCCAGTGACAAGGTTCCCTTTACTTTTTCTTGATGGTGTACTTTTGGGGGTGGGGAGAATGGAAGTTTAGTACACTTTAAATTTTGGTTACTTTCATGCCTCATACTTTCTACTTCTTTCCTAAGAATTTTTGTCTGGGTCTGAAGAAATAGCTTGGTAGTTACAAGTGCTTAATGTTCTTACATAGGACCCAGGTTGGTTCCCAGTAGCCACATCAGGAAGCTTATGACCACCTGTAACTAACTCCAGCTTTGATATCCTTTTCTGGCCTCTAAGGACACTGCATACATTTGGTACACATTCAGAAAAGCACACACACACAAACACAAAAGTTTTTATAAAATATGTTTGTTTGTTCTGAGGTGGTAACATTCATGTATGTTTTCTCCTCAAATGCATCATTACTTTAGTTTTCAAATTAAAGTTCCATTGCAAACTTATGTTTTATAAAGTATAAGGGATAAAGTTCTTCTTTCCCACACTGATATACAGTCAGTCTAATACCTTACACTGAAGAGATAATCTTTTATTGAATTTCATGTATCAATATCATATATCTGAGGGCCCTTTCTTAGCTCTCTGTTCTGTTCCTTGAGCTATATTCCCACCTACATGCAATACATAACTGTCCTGTTGATTAGTATTGCTTTGAAGTAAATAGTGAAATCATGGTAAATACATCTTCCTTTTTAAAAATTGTTTCAGCTTTTTAATCTTTTGCCTTTAATTTAAAAACTAGTTACATTTATTTACTTATTGTGTGTCACAATAAATAACATATGACCATATACAGAGGCCAAAGAACAACTTATGGGAGTTAGTTTTCTGTCTACTTTGTGATTCTGGGGACCAAACTCAGGTTGTCAGGCTGAGTAGGTACTATGCTTACCTGCTGAGCCACATCACTGCTATTTTGTATCTTTAAAGATTCTTTTATCTACAAAAAAGTCTGTTAGATTTCTGATTGAAACCAAGTTAAATCTATAGCCCAACTGGGGAAAAACAAGATGTAAACAATAGTCTTCAAATTCACAAGCAAGCATGGTATCTTTGATCAGACTTTTGATTGTTCCCAATTGTACTGTATATGTTCATTGTTAAAGTCTTACATTCTGTTAAACTAATACCTTTATGTTTCATAAGTTTTAAAATTACTATTTGTGCTGGTTTGAATAGGAATGGCCCCATCGACTCATGCATTTGAGTGTTTGGCAAATAGGCAGTGGCAGTATTATGAAGTGTGGCCTTGGTGGAGGAAGTTTGTCACTGTGGTAGCAGCCTTTGAGGTCTCATATGCTTAAGCTACTCCCAGGGAGAAACATAGTCTCCTGCTGCCTGTGGGATCAAGAAGCACAACTGTCAGCTCCTTTTCCAGCACCATGTCTGTCTGCATGCTGTCATGCTTTCTGTCATGATGATAATGAACTAAATCTCTGAAACTGTAAGCCACTCCCAATTAAACATTTTTTTATAAGGGTTTTCTTGGTCATGGTGTCTCGTCACAACAACAGAAACCCTAATTAAGACACCATTATTATCTGTGTTTGTGCCTACATGTAGTTGGCATGTGAGACCATGGAAACCAGAGAACGACCTTTCAGAGCTGGCTTTCTCCTTTCTACCTTGTGGGATTCAATATGGTTATTTTACATGAATGGTTAAATGATTTCATGTTGGCTTCTATGTTCACGCAGTCTACATTTTCCACCCTTTATACTTTGTTAACAGTGATTTTATGCGCTGGTATACAATTCATATCTTTTGATTGTAATTAGCATGTACCCTTCAATTGTTGGATGCAAAGTCTGTAAGTACCAATAAGGTCAAGTTGCTGAGAGTTAATTTAGCTCTATTATTAAGATTTTGTACTGTTATTATGTCAATTGCTGAGGAAAAGACCTTCAAATCTTGTTTTTTTGTTTTTGTTTTTGTTTTTAATATGCATCAGGTATTTGTCTGCATTTATGTCTGTGTGTCACTTGACTGCCTGGTGCCCACATAGGCCAGAAGAGGGTGTTGGATGTGAGCTGTTATGCAGGTTCTGGAAACCAAACCAGGTATCTCTAAAAGAGCAGACAGTGCTCTTAGTGGCCGAGTCATCTCTTTAGCACCTAAGTAATATTTTCAAATTTCATTAATATAAATGTATTTCTAATTCTATACATTTTTGCTTCATTTATTTTTAAATTCTCAAGGTATATACACATTTGTCATTTACATTTTCTTAATATTCTTACTCTCATTATTTTTCAATACAAATGCCTAAATATAAGCAGCAAAAAGTCAACTGAGTTTTTAAAACTCTTGTTCTTAAGAGTGTAATAATGAACTTGGATAAACTTCTGGAGGAAAAACTAACACTGCTATCTGTTAAGGTCCTGAAAAATTTACTTAAGCTGTGTAAACAAATATATGTATAAGTATAAAGAGACAAACTATCATACTCATGAAAAAATTTTAGTTTATTAGGTTATTTAGTTTATTTATTAATAGGTAGTTTAAAAGGTACTGTGCCTGTTATTAATTAAAAATGGTACAATTTTCCTCTGTGCTGAATCAATTAAAAACTCAATTGCACAATGATAAATCAGTGCTTGCAGTAAAACTAAAATTGACCAATGGTTTGATTCTGAAAATTTCCATTTTATAGTTTCAAAACAAAGATGGCTGTGCATAAATTGAAACCAGAGATAAAGGGGATTTTCACTTATTTCAAAAATACTGTCATACTTTATAGCCTACTCAAGCCTCAAATTCAGCAATCCTCATGCCTCAGCCATTCAAATTCTGGGATTACAGGTGTGGGGCTACCATGTGTGATTGATGGGACATCTGTTGAATTTAACAAATCACTTATTGTGACTATCACTATTTCTTGTATTTTCAGGTAATAATTATGAGTATGTATGTATTAAATAGAGTGATATTATTAGTGTGACAGTTAAGATGACTATATTTCTCATGTCTTAGATTACATCAAAACCTATAAAGATTGCCTTTCCTCCCCCCTCTCCTTCTGTCAGGGGCTTGATTCTGAAAGGAAACTGAAGGTAAAATACATTTTCAGAATCCTATGAGAGAACAGCGGGAAAGATGGCTAGTAGCAAAAACACAGTTTGTAAAGAACCTGCAAGATCAGCCTCCAAAACAATACAGAGAAACCCTGTCTCGTAAAACAAAAAAACAAAAAAACAAAAAAAAAAAAAAAAAAAAAAAGAACCTGCAAGAGTAGAACAAGGTCCCAGGTCAAAGCCAATTGAGGCCTGAAATATTTAGAGTGCTGTAAAATGGCATTGAAAGCACTTCTCATGGCAATACCACAGCCACCAGTACAGCACATTCAAACTATACATGTGAATCATGTGCTCTTCACTCCATGGAGCAATAATTTGTGTTTCCTATGGGGAATTCTGGGAGGGAAAATCATTTCCAGAAGTGAGATACATTTTAGAAAGTGGTAGAAACTTTGTCTACTTTGTCTCCAATTACATAGAAGTTAAGGAAATCTGAACTGTGGAAGGGAAACCATTTCAAGAGGGGGCAATGGAAATAGAAGATATGCTGAGCTGCTAAAAACAAAACCACATGAAATCACAAAACTAAATGAATACAATTGTGAACTTATGTGAAGAAATGTCTATTTTCTTTATCATTACACAAGTATAAGTCTTTCTAAACTTACCTGACAGCCTGATAATCCAGAGTCTCTGCTGTACAGGGAAAAGGAGCCTCTTTCTGATGCTTTTCCTATAAAACCAAGAAAACAACTTTGTGTTAAAAACTTCATTGATGGACAATCAGTTCAGCCTCAAAACTATTCATTCTACTCTCAGTAAATACTTGACAATCAATGTGAAATCAATGAAAATATTGTCAAGAGAATAAAGAATTGACACTCAAATACTGAGCAACATAACTCACAGAGGATATTCACACATATTTGCTTCAAACTGGACATTTTTTTCTCTCACAAATGAAAACAGGAAGACAGAGCTGAGTAAACAGCATCCATGCATGCAGTTCTATTACAAAGATGTTGTCTGTGTGTCTCATGTAGTTTGTGAATGGATGAACATTCATGCACTCAATCAATACACATTGAATACACTGAAAAAGATGCAATTATATGGTACATACCCTTTTGAAATCTGCATTTTCATATAATATTCTGTTTTTTTAGACAAACTGATATAAAAACTAGTTTAATGGCTTCTATTGCTATCTCCTCATGTACATACAAGCACAGTGTATCTACTTTACTGCTAAAAATTTTTCCAATTGTGTGGGCAGAGAGCCATTAACAGATACACGCAAGTCTTTTTTTTTTTTTTTTTTTTTTTTTTTGGTTTTTCGAGACAGGGTTTCTCAGCTGTCCTAGAACTCGCTTGGTAGTCCAGGCTGGTCTCGAACTTACAGAGATCCGCCTGCCTCTGCCTCCCGAGTGCTGGGATTAAAGGCGTGCGCCACCAACGCCAGGCCACGCAAGGCTTAATACTCAGCTTTTTCCAGGTTGTACACATGACATAAGTGGCCAGTTAGTTACAGGTTATTCCAAAGGCATTGCCCAACTCCTCACTGTAGTCTCCGGCAATATGAACTCTCTTTCAGAATTCCATTTGAGACAAAGTTCAGAAGGTAGCCAGCCAAGCACAGGAGCAGTTCGGGCAGTTCTTGAGGGGCACTAGGTAGCTCACAGCACCAACAACTGACAGTAGCAATTTTTATGTCTTGTATCACATTTGAGTGTGTATGTGTGTGCTTACTGTATATACATGAGTGTACCTATGTGTGTGGATGAACTCATCTGTCTGTACAAGTGTGCTGACCAAAGGCCAATGTCAGATACCATCTGCTCTCCAGGTTACTTTCTGAGAGTCTCTCACTGAACATGGAGCTGTTTTGGACTAATTTTCTTAAGGTCATGGTTTAATAGTAAAATTGCCTGTGTGTTCACACATGCACTGGGATTACTCAGGACCTCAAACACCCTAAGCACCTGTTCTAACAATTGGAAGGAAAATCTAAAGAACTCGAGATTTGTCTGTGTGTCATGGTTTGGATATGTCATGAGGACTTGGTTCTTACTAGAAACAGAATTTAGAGTGGGACATTCTGGAGTGATCCTGTCATGAAGGCTCTGTATTCATCAACAGATTAATCTACTGATAAATTTAGTAGACTACTGGGAGTAAAACAATGGAAGAGGGGGTCCAGTTGTAATATCTAATAGGTATAACTGGTCTTAGGTTCCTCTCTTTTCTTCTCTGCTTCCTACTCATACCCATCATTGTAAGTTGTTTGTTCTACAATAAACCTCCTGCCATGATGGTCAGCCTTGTCTCAGGCCTGTAGTAAAGAAGCCAGCCAATCTATGAAACAGAGAGGTTAAGTAAATCCTTCCTCCTTTAAGTTGCTTATCAGGTATTTTGTCACAGTTATGGAAGTCTGACTACCATTGTATGATTCCAGTATGGTCAACTATGCTAGTCTCACTCACAAGTAATCACTACTGTCAACATTTTCACAAAAACCATGATGATGATACTCTTGCTTCAATTACCCATAAGAAAATGTTTATTTCATCTTAGCTTCCTGGGCCTATTCCTTAATCTTTAATTAAACTGGACAGGGGAGGCTATTTCTGTGGCCAATGCAAAATTTTGTTTTGTATGTATAAATGTCAAACAATTAAAGTTGATAAGGTGTAACATGTACATAATTCCAGGACTTGAGTGAGAGACTGAGGAAGTTCAAGACCAAAGCAAAGCAAAGCCAAGCCAAGCCAAGCCAAGCCAAGCCAAACCCATTGCAAAGAAATTTAGAAGCTAGATCTGGCGAGACATGTCCTTAATTGCAGCATCGAGGAGGCAGAAGCATTGGTATATGGATCTCTGTGAATTCCAGGCCAGCCTATTCTATAGAGTGAGTTTCAGGACAGCCAATGCTCCACAGAGAGACTCTGTCTCCAAAACAAACAAACAAGAACTACTTTGGAAACCCTGAGAATACATCATACAGACATCCTACTTAATGAAGAGTAACTAACAGAATCCCAGCCACTATGCTTTGAAATCCACAGGTGCTTTGAACTCTGGCCCACTTTTAGCAAATTTTAACTGAGCGAGGTAGAGACTACAGCATATTCATCCCAAGGAGGCTTGGCATCCTTACTGAACAGCATTCCCTTCTAAAATACCCTTCTACTTCTCATCTTTACTCTCAAGGTCTTGGGACTGATGTGGGCTTGATGATAGGAACCAGCGCTTGCTGAGTAGCTACTCTGTTCTAAAACTATGTATGAGGTGCTTCACTTACACTGAAAGGCACTTCTGACAGCTGTAGTCTTCCTACTAGAAACCCTGATGCCAAGAAGTAGATGATCAAAGCAGCTGATGGTTGATAGGGGATGTCCTTCTGTATATATGTTTGTCTTATTGGTTGATGAGTAAAACACTGGTCAGTAGCCAGGCAGGAAGAATAGGCAGGGCTACCAGACCAGAAGGCTGGGGAGAGGAGGGAGAGAGAGGCCTTGAAGAGACACCATGATGCCCAAGGAGTAACATGCCGGATTACAGGTAAGCCACAGCCTCGTGGCAATACATAGATGAATAGAAACAGTTTAGTAATTAATATAGCATCAGTGTGTTTATTTGGGGGCAAAGCAGCCGTGGGACCAGGCAGGAACAAAAACCTCCATCTTCAGATGGTAGCTATGAAACAGGACAGGTAACTCTCCTCCTGTACATGTCCAAATCTTTGGTTAGAGAAGCCTGCTCTGTCACACCCTCATGGTGTTGTCTCCCCTCTTACTTGAGTGGAAAATGTGCTGATGATGAAAGAGCCAGCAACAACAATATTAGGGAAGAGACTGTCCAGCCTTTACTTCTGCAGTTCCTGGACACTTGAAATTTCTAGCCAACTAGTTTACTAATTTTAGTAATTATTTCAGAAACAGGGGCTGGAGAGATGGCTCAGAGGTTAAGAGCACTGACTGTTCTTCCAGAGGTCCTGAGTTCAATTCCCGGCAACCACATGGTGGCTTGAATGAAATCTGGTGCCCTCTGCTGGTATGCAGGCAGAAGACTGTATACACAATAAATAAATATTTTAAAAAATTATTCCAGAAACAACAACGTGAATACAGACATAAACTAGAATGTTTCCCTATTTGTAAAAGCTAGGATGTATTCTAAAAGCTAGTATGATTTCTGTTATACTGATTTGCAATCACAATTTTAATTCACCAGTACATAAATCTTTCCATGTTCTAAGAGTAGTTAAAACTTAAAAGTATACACACACATACACACATAGTACTCTGATAAAAATCTTAGCCTAGAAAAAAAGGAATCTTTGGGTATTTAAAAAATTACTTCTGGGCTGGAGAGTTGGCTCAGCCATTAAATTCTAGGCTCACAACCAAAAAATTACTTCTAATGACATTACTATGGTCAAACTTAAATATCTTAACACATAAATCATGTTTAGCTTTTCTTATATTTGTTTTTCAGAGAAACAATATGAAATTCTGACACATGCAAATCTAAACATTTGGAGACAACTCTAAATTTGATGATAGTCTTCTGAGGAAACCACTCCTTTCTCCTTGGATACCAATAAAAAGTCATTTACCTAATGTTACGCATGGAGGCTGTTCCTCTACTCCTATGGATGAACCCTACTGTCAATTTCATGTAATATGACTCTTTTGAACTATCTGAAGAAACATAAGCTGCTGTCTTACAAAGTGAGCAATTGTATAATACAACTGAGTATAACTGAACAAGACCCGAGAAGTAAAATCCAAGCAAAGAAAAACTTACTATCAGAGGGCTCTATAACTACTAGTTAAGTGCTATATCACTGAGCCATAAACCCAGCCTGATTATTGATTATAATCAGATTATTAAATCTGATTAAGTTAGTCTTGACTCTTGCTTCTCTTTTACTAGGTGAACTAAGATATAAATCATTCATTCCATTAAGAAAATCAACTCAGTAACACATACCTCACACAGACATGCCCAGCTTAATTGACAGTTATAAAGTACTTGGAAATTCTTGTCTGAAAAAACCTAAAGCCAATGTTATCTACCACTAAAACTATAGACTTCATTTGGGTAGCGACTTGCTCAAACTTACAGAGAAAAGGGCTTTACAGTTTCTTTTTAAGAAAATGAGGAGAATTTTCAAATTAATGTCTACATATTTTCTTCACAACCATTTGTTTTAAGTATTATGGGTGAGCATATGTGCAGGCACACCATTGGCTACACTGAAGATACTTAATACCTAGTGCCAACAAGAGCACAGCTGCTGAGCCCTCTGTGCCCTCCTTTTGTTCACTCCATGTCAAATTACTCACAAAGCTACTATGTGGTCTCAGCAAAGCAAATGGTTAAGTCAAAGGAGTTCAGATAAACAAAGAGTATCCCTACAGAGGGCAGTGATTAACAAAGACCCAGGTGTAGTTACTATTTTAACCAGCCCATACCAACTTGCTGTGACAGGCATCACAGACTTAGTCAAGAGTTTCACACAACTCCCAAGATAGAGTAAATTTTGAAAAGTTCCTTAGACATGGCTTCTTATGACCTTTTGTTTTTCGAGATAGGGTTTCTCTGTGAAGCTTTGTAGACCAGGCTGGCCTCGAACTCACAGACATACACCTGCCTCTACCTCCTGAGTGCTAGGATCAAAGGCATGCACCACCACCACCCAGGTTTTCTTGTGACTTTTATCCCCAA